ACACATACACACACATACACACACACACATACACACATACACAGGTTCACTAGCATAAACATTCCTATAAATATGGACAGTTTGGAAATGTCTGCGACAGTTCCGATGACAATCGCTATCGTTTTCCTTTGCAAATTTAAATTCTTTCCTTAAATGCAAAAAAAAAGAAGAAAAAAATTTTGTCCCAATTTTTGATGACAAATCATTCATTCAATTGTGTCTTTTTTTATTATCCATTTAAAATCCTTTTTCATTAGGTATTTTAAATGATTTAAAGATAAATAGGAGGGAATGAAAAAAAAATAAATGAATGAAAGAAATGATTGGATAATCAGTTAGGCTTGGTTGATTAGAGGAAATGATTGAAGCAAAAGGAAAAGTCGGAAATGAGAAAAAAGAAGAAGGAAAGAGGAAAGGTTTATTGTTAAATAAAAATTAATTTTAAAAATTTAAAAAAACAAATAAATTTCCTTTTATTTTAATTATTACATTATTGTTTTATAAGTTATTTAGAATACTTAAATAACTTTCCTTTAATGAAATTCCTTCAATTTTTCTTTTTTAAATTCTTTTAAATAATTATTGAATTATTTTAAATGATTCTTAAATTATTTAAGGTATTTTAAATAGTTATTAAATGTTTCTAATGACATTTTTTAGTCTGTTTTCAATTTGCATACTTGACTACTGAAATTTATAATGCTTTATTTATGGTTAATAATAAAAATTAATTGTTACATAAAATAACTTATATATTATAGCATTAAAAAATTACACTAAATGATTATTTTATCTTAACTGATGATAATTATTGTTAATTTCTTTGACTGGATGTATTTGCTGGTACTAAAATATGCATACCGTAATTGGGTTAAAGAATTTCAACCAATCCATGTTAAACAACGATTCTTTTTTTTTTGAAAATTATAATTTTCAAGTGCAAATTTTTACAATTTATATTTGCACTATAATAAATGTGGAATGGTTGAAATTTATTTTATAAATGCAAATTTATTTTTCATTTTGTTTTATATAAATAATATGGAAACATTTACGTATGTTTCTAAATTCATTTTATTTTTTATTTCTTCGTTTTCAACAAAAAAAATTGGTCGATTTTATTTATTTATTTATTTTCCTCCCTCTCTCACTTTCCCTCTCTCTCTCTCTCATTTTCAAAAGACCTGTAATTTTGAAACAAAATTTGCTTGCAATTTTTGTTTATGCATTTCAGTCAAATATTAGTTTTATCATTCTGCTTGATAATTTAGATATGTTATCATAATTAATATTGAAAATAATTATAGGCGATCAATAAGGAATCATCGTGGTATCATCGAATCAAACAATTTGTTCACAGAGGAAAGTCTATTACTGTGCATTCAACGAACTGCTTATCGTAAGCAACAACAGCAACTGCAACAACAACAACAACAACAACTGCAACAACAACAACAACAACAACTGCAACAACAACAACAACGACGAGGACAGATAGAATCCTCACGGATGGTTGACGCATTACTGATGCAGCAACAGCAATCTCGAAGTGGAAGTAATGGTAAGTTTGCTATTCAAGATTGTTGGAAATAGAATTAAAGCGAGCTAATTTCAATATTGCTAAAATAAGAATGATTAAAAAAAATGACTGACTAATTTTGGTTTGTTTTGTTTTAATTTATTTAGGCATGTAATGAAATTTTTGTTGAAACTGTTAATTGATATACTTTATAAGGATGTAAATGGAAGAATTATCGTAGAAACGAGATTCGAATTTCCTGTATAAAAACAAAGAAAAAAATTAAATTAAAAAAAATTATAACTTCA